ATATGGAAAAACCACCCAACATTCTAAAGTAAAGATTCTGAGTATTCTCAAAAAAGATGTGTAAGGCCTCTAGATAAAAATTCAGTAGCTATAATAAAGAGAGCTGGAGAAATAGGGTCACCTTATCTTAAACCGTGAGAGGAGTTAAAATAAACATTACTCGACCCATTAACAATAATAGATAAGTAAACACTTTCAATACAATTCCTCATAAGCTTAATAAAAATTGAATTAAAGCCAAAGAAATTTAGAATGTGATAGATAAAATTCCAATCAATATTGTCAAAGGCCTTGGCAATATCCAATTTCAAATCGAAGTTACCCCATCTCACCCTAACATCCAGGTCTTGGCAAAATTCTAGATCCAACAAAATATTATCCAAAATCGCCCTCCGTTTCACAAACCACATTTGTGAAGGACAGATAATTCTAGGTAGGATAGAAGTAAGATGATTCATAAGAAATTTTGAAATCAATTTGTTAAAAAAGGTATAAAGACTGATAGGTCTAAAATCATTCCAAGTACTGATAGAGTTATTTTTTGGGAATAAGCATAATAGAAGTAGAAGTAAAAAAATTAGAGATAAAATTACCAGCAAAGAAATCTAAAATAACAGAAAAAATATCATTATTTATAATGTGCCAAGTTATTTTAAAAAAATGAGTGGTAAAACCATTAGGCCCAGCAACATAATCACTATTCATACCAAAAAGAGTCTCTTTAACTTCCTCAAAAGTAGGAGGTTTAAAAAGAGTCTTGTTTTCCTCTTAAAATATAAGGCTAGGAATAAAAGAATGATCAATAATCTAAGTCGAGCAAAAACTCTTATTGAGGAAATTTTGAAAATGCTGAACAGCTAAACTAGCAATTTCCATAGTACTCAAGGTAAAAGAACGATCCTCCCGATGAATTTTATTAATATAAATTTTATCTAATTTCCTCTTAACCAACGCATGAAAATATTTAGTGTTATTATCGCCTTCAACTAGATGCTTAGCCAAAGCTTTCTGTTTCCAAAAAACCTCCTCCTGAGCTTGTAATTTAAAAAGTACATCTTTAGCATTTCTTAATAAAGTGAAATTAAAATAAGAAGAATCAACTTGACAAGTATAATCAATTTTTCTTACATTCCTTTGTCAAGGCTATACATTACTTTGGGCTTTAACTACATACATGGCCACTATGTGCATTAAATGAAGAATGAGAGATAATTAAGAATATCTTTTAAACTTTAAAGTATAAGAGTCTTCATTTGTTCTTAATATGCTCTTTACATCAATCCAAAATAAAATATCAAATTGAACATACAATAAATGACAAGCAAACTCAATTTTATTGTATTTATATATGAATCAAAATACAAGAGAAATCGTAAAATTTTATCACCAAGTAGGATCGAAGTATCTCCTCCATAGTCCTTCTTCCTTCACTTATAGATTTGCTTCAATAAAATAGGTTAAACACTCTAATAGATTGTATCCAATACTTCCCTAGCCTCCCTTAGATTTTACCATAAAAGGGTACTAGAGAAGCACACTAAAAAATACTAAATTTTATATAAGTGACTAAACTTATCGCAAATAAAACAAAATATTTATTTATAGGAAAACACAAAAAAGGTTTATGCGATGCAATGCTTGAAATTGTAGCTCTGCTGCACTCGAAAGAGAACTAGTGTCTCGATGCTGAAATGTTTGCTCTATCGTGGTTCTTGATGATGTGAAATGTTATCAAGTGAACAAACATGACTTTTAACTTCAATGATGTGTGTCTTAAAAGTTATAACTGCAACACCATGACATTATGAAAATTTGACCATTGTGGCTCCTGATTGGATGAAATAGCCTTGAGATATTGAAATGTGTGGCATTGCAACATTCTTTTTCTAGAGAACGTGATATCTCCAAGATAATTTTTTCATGCAATGGTGCCTCAAATTATGCAGCGCTGACTGTGATGCTATCGCAATGCTCACAAATAAAGAGTTTGGCATTGTAATATCTAAAAGTGAATGGAGCGTGACGTAGGTGTTGAATGGAGAATGACACCAGTGTTTCTTTTGGTGCTGCGACACTGCCTATACCTTTGTATTTTTTACCATTTTAAGTTTTTTCTTGTATAAAAATAACTAAAATAATATATTTCACTAAAATTCAAACATAATAAATAGTACATATTTTACACTTATTAAATTCTTCCCAACTTAAACTCTTATTTATCCTCAAGCAAAAAAGAAATATGCATTTTTTAATAATTTATTAAACAAAGTAAAACTTGATAATTTAAAATTACTAAAATGTGGGATAATACATCATTGCCTAGAAGTCATTGAAATAAACAAAGTTATAATTCTAGTTTAAAAAAATTATAACAATTATCCTAACTTGTCACCCTTACCTTTTCTTATTTTGAATTTATATGTTGAAAATAATCATTCACTATTGAATTTTGAAATGAATAAGGTAATTTAAAGATTATATGTGATTGTAGTTAAAATTAAAATTTCGTTTGTTTACCTTCATCAATATTGGTTCTCCTATCTTATCCTTTATAAATTTAAGTATAAGGTCACATTTAGACTTTAAGCTTTTAAGTGATATTAATTTTTGAATGTACTCTTCTTCTTTTCCTTTATTTTAGAACTCGAAAAATATATAATTAATGATTTTGAATATAAGTTTTGCTTGTATCCTCTTGCAATTTTAATTATTTTAATATGAGAATTTATTAACATCACTAGTTTCAATTATAAGTTATTATGATTTCCAATTTTGAGCTACACATATCTATTTTTTTAATCTTAATTATTTATTTTTAATTTAAAGGTCAATGTATAATTGTATAACTTATAAATTCAAGTTAAGACAATAGCTTAAATGATCTAAGTTAGTTAATTATTAAATTTTTCAATCTATGGATTATAATGATGTGTTCATTTAAACTATAATTTAGGGTTTCATTATTATCCTAATCTTACATAATTTGTAATTATCATTTTTATGAGGGTTAATTAAACAATAAAAAAGTGAAGATATAAATATAAGATAATATAATAGTTTAAGCTTAAGGAGAATTGAATCAAATATAAATTTAACTAATTTGGAACTACAATTATGATACATGATTTTTCATATGAATAATAACTAAAAAACATCATGTGACACATAGAAAACTAATCAAATGTTGTAGGATAAACTAGTGCTTAAGGCGCCACTCTAGAATCACATTAACCTGGGCTTTGATGGCCATAATAAACATAACCAAGTACTACAATCATCTCAAACTATCACATTACTGGGATCTCCCCAAAGAAAAAAAAAATGAAAATGAAATAAAAAAATTGATACAAAATATGGGTAGCATTCTCTCTCTCGCTTCTCTCTCTCTCTCTCTCTCTCTCTCTCTCTCTCTCTCTCTCTCTCTACACACTCTAGCTTCCTAACTAGCAGAATAAGGATGTTCCTCTTCCTCTTTATTATCATCATTCATAAGGTTTTATTCTATGACCATTGACCTTTAAAATGAGAAAAAAAAATTATCATAATTCTTTACTACACTATATAAATATAATTGAAAATTAATAAATGCCCCGATCCATCTAAACTTAATTTTTCCAAGATAAAATTTCTTTTCAGAATAAAAAACCCAATCATCTTAACCATGAGAAAATTCATAATTGAGAACCTTACACCCATGCAATATTTTCATTTTTTATATTTCAAACCATTGTATCTTTAATAACTTCATTTTTGAATTCATTTAGTGTGCTAGCAACAGAAGAACTCTAAAAGTTCAAAGTAGAAAATTATTTTCATTCTCATAGGAAAGTTCTTTCTTCTTTAAGGAAGAATGCTCTCTCTTATTTCCTCCAATTAACTTAAAAATCCCAAATTGTATAAAACAAATAAGAGCACTCACCTAGAAAGAATTCTAAAAATGTTAGAGAGAAAAAGAAAAGTGACAAAGAAAGTTGACTACACTTAATTTTTTATAACTAAACAGACATGCTAGTTATTGATACATGCGAGTGCCTTAGAATTCATCCCAATGCTACGGCTCGTGAATTTTTTTAATGAAATATGCAACATAAAACATGAAACTATAAAAATTAACATGCCATACTAAACATAAAGATGGGTTTCCTCACAAATAGTGATAAGTTTATAGTCTTCAGCCAGACTTGCCTAGATTCATCAATTTGGCCAAGTTTCATCACCACCACACCTCAAGTGATTTTCATTATGATATTTTTCTTTCTCCTTTGGATTAACTTTAGTATTGCAAATTAGTGAACTAAAAGGCCTACTACTAGCTAAAATCGTAAGCTGACTTAATTGAGTTTTCAATTTTTTAATAAAAGTAACTTGACTTTACAATTAAGTTCCTAACTACATCACTACCTCATCTAAAGGTGACTTTCTATTTCTAAATTGATTGTTTTGATTAAATCCTTGAGGATAAGTAGGTATAGGATTAACAATAGGTTGCTGAAGATTATTCTAAATTCCTCCTTGATTATTATGATATGAATTCCATTTATTATTACTACCAATATTATTTGAACAATTGAATTAGGATGGTTTCTCTAACCTGGATTATATGTATTGGAGTAGAGATCATTTTATTTAATAATTAAATTAATATTTTAATTCCCTTGCACGCTATTATCTTTATTGAAATTTAAATCTTAAACTTCCAATTGTATGGATAAGTCAAATACTGATCATGAATTATTTCCTATTATGTTCAATTTCTTCAAAATTGCTATAACTTGAGCAGTTAAAATTGACAGTACCTTTGATTCAAAAATTATGGTTATTCTCTTAGGATTTACCTTATCAGCTAGCCACTATAAATTATTTGTAGCCATTTTCTCTATTAATTCATTGCTTTCCTGAATAGCTTGGATATTAAAGATTCTCTAGAAACATGGTCTATAATTACTCTAAGAGATCCTACTAATCAATTATAAAATATTTTAATAACCAAGCAATCAGGTAATGCATGGTGAGGGCATTTTCTATGCCTCCTTAAATCTCTCCCAATTTTCATAAATTGATTCTACTAACAATTGGGTAAAAGATATTATATCATTTCTAAGTTTGGTAGTCTTTGAAGGTGGGAAATACTTTGCATCAAATATGTGATCCAAGTTATCACAATAGATTATAGAGCCCAGTGGCAAAGAATTCAACCACATCTTAGTCTAATAGCATCATCATTGACACCATTATACTTAAATATTAAGCATATTTCTAGAAAATTGGCTAAGAATAAATTGGGATCTTTAACAAGAGTTCTCCCAAATTGAGAATTTTAAACCATCTAATTTATAAAAGGTTTTAATTCAAAACTATTAGCATGGATAGAAACTCTATTAATACTCTGATGAATTCCATTTACTACAGGGTCAACCCACATGAAAATGTTATGCTTACTTGCAACAAAAATTACTATTGTTTACTCTAAAAGTATAAGTTATCCTATTGAAATAAAAATAATATTTTTGAAATTTCTATTAATGTATTAAAATTGTATAATAGTTTATGCAATGTTTAATAAAATATTTTGGATTAATGAATATAAAATATCACATATTTTTAATGAAACTCTTAATTGTAGATGTGATTTAGAGCATGTGCATCTCTAGATCTCTATCGGACTTGTAGGGGTGAAAATGATACCTCCTGACCTTCTACAGTTATACTATCTCATTTAGAATCTAGAATACTCAAATAATACATGTCTATACATACTAATATTATATCTCAATATTCCTGATTATTCTTGTAATCCTATGTCGAGGTTGTACATCATACTAAATTTTAACTGCATATATGGCCACTTTGTGCATAAAATAAAGAATGGAACATAATTGAGAATATCATTAAATCTTTAATGTACAAGTCTTTATTAGTACTTAATATTCTATTTATATCATGAATCCAAAATAAGAGATCTAGCCTAACATAAAATAAATAACAACTAAACTTATTTTCCTTGTATTCATAAAAGAAGCAAAATACAAGAAAAATAATAGAATTTTATCACCAGGTAGGATCAAAGTATCTCCTCTATACTCCTTTATTCACTTATAGAGTTGCTATAATAAACATATGCTAAACACTCCAAAAGATTGTATCATATACTTCCATAGCCTTCCTTAGATTTTACTCTAAGAGGGTACAAGAGAAGCACTTGGAAAAGTACTAAGTTTTACACAAGTTATTGAACTCCTCACAAAAAAATAGACAACTAATTATAGGAAAACATAAAAAATGTTTCTAGTGTTGCAACTCACAAAAGTGAACTAGCATCTCAGCACTAGAATGTTTGATCCACTACAGTGTTAATGATGAGGAATGCTTAACAAGTGAACTGATGAGTCTATTCACTTTGATGATGTGTCACTTGAAAGTTATAACTATAGCACCACGATGCTATGGAAATTGGAGCATTGTGGCACTCGAGGGGATAAAATAGCACTGTGGAATTAAAATGTGTGGCACACCACATTCACTTCCAGAAAACATAGAGCAACTAGCACATTTTCTGACTCAGTGACACCTCAAACACTATGACACTAACTATGATGCTACTAGAACACTCATAAATAGATAGCATGGAAATTGTAATGTCCAAAAGAGATGCTTCAGTGGTGTTGAGTGGGGCACAATGCTGGTGTTTCCTCTAGCACTACGGTGCTTCCCTTTCCTTTATATTTTTCACTTTTTTAGTTTTTCCTATAAAAAATAAATAAAATATCATATTTTCACTAAAATCCAAACATAATAAATAGTACATAATTTACACTTATCAGTAACTAATACATCACCAAAAAACACCTTGATCTGACATGAATCTCGAGGCATTTCCAAGTTGGAAACTTCCAAAATTAAGTTTGGGAATATCTAACCTCTGATTTCAACATGCTTATAGTCAAATCAACCAGCTCGATGAGAAAAGACCATAACATCCAAGATCACTTAATTTTGACATCATTAAGGTACTTAAATGTTTGTCAAATGCTTTAAGATCAAGGGGATCAATATGGACCATTCAACGGAGTACTCTAAATTTACCCCAAATCTTTTCCATAGTTATGGGACAAGGCACTCTCAAAAAATTATAAATATACCCCATCTTCTTGAATGAAGGGGACTAGGACCTTTGGCTTCAAATAAGAGAGAGCTACAAAATTTCAAGGATTTAGAGCTCCATCAAAGCATCATTGTAGGTGAACTTTTGTCAACCATCACCAAACCACCATGCCTCCACTGACCATCATCAAACCACCACTCATATGTCAACCATCACATGATCATCGCCCATATGCCTACCTTCATCCGACAACCACTCGTCTTTAAATTGTTGCTAAATCATTACCCATTTACTGACCACCGCTAGAATTCCACCTTGTTACCAACAACTAATGGATCTCCCCCTAGACATTGACCACTACTAAACCTCCATCTAATGACCATCAACACACCCCTTTTACCATCATCTCTCACTAATTACGGTCCCTCTGATTACTATTTCCAGTCAATTATGATCCCTCTGACCTTTGTCGCCTGCTGACTATGGCCCCTTCAGCCTTCATTGCCCATTATTTGTAGTCCCTCTGACCTTCAAAGCTTAATAATTATTATCCCTCCACTTCAAAGATTGTTTTCTACAGCCTTAATATCCTCTATTACTCGACAACTATAGTCCCTGCCTTCGACCTTCATCACCCACAAATTATGGCCCCCATTGACCTCTATCACCCATTGACTGTAGTCCCTGCAGCCTCTGTTGCCCACCAAATTTGGTCTCTATATCCTCTATTACTCGCATACTATGGTCCCTCTAGCCCCTATCACCCATCAATTATAAATCCTCTGGCTTCCATTTCCTATTGACTAGTATCCCACAGTCCTACTAACCAAACGAATAGATAAAGACTCTCTTTAGAACAACTCTCATATCATTATATTCCTGTCACTCCCACAATATAATGTACTCTATATAATTTATATTTATTTACATTAACTCTAGGCCTTCCCCCTACGGAAGTTCCTTATTTGTAATCAATAATAAACACTAGTAAAATCCTTTTAACTGGGTCAAACCTCATGGTTTTACACTTTTCTAAGTTTTCGTTATAACAATCTTGGTGTCTCTTATGATTGTTGCACCCCACCCTTTTATATGTGTGTGTTATGCTTCTTCGTACAAAGCTTGGACAATAAACTCTATTTCTCTCTATCGCCATGAATGTTATAGGATGCAACAAGTATGTTGTTTTATCATTCTTTATTTTCTTTAATAACTTGATGTGAGGATATTTAATTAATGAAACTACAAAAATAATAATAAAACTTTAGGGAAAAACTAAAAGAATGTGAAAGAACAAATTCAACATACTACCAAACATAAGATGCACAAGTGTATGTGATTTAATGCGATTCATCTAAGTTCTTGGATAATAGAGATCAAAACTTTCACTACGATAAAAAAGAATGTTGCTTCAAGAAATTCTCTTCACATAAAATTGGACAAAAGAACTAATATTTCACTTCATTAATGTTAAAGACTAGAGAGAATGCTACCACTTGCTATGAACAAAATATATAGATGTTGAGAAATGTTATTCTTACTAGTATTATTTTTCTCCATTATAATATAGGAGTTTCAACGAGTTATTTTCCTTGTCATGGTAAAAAAACTCACTTTTTGATGTAACCACCCTCCATGGAATTAAACCTAGAAACCATCTTTAAAGAAACAAAATGTATATTTTCTATAAACACTTCAAAAAATATCTATCTCTTCTCCCCTGCTACATTAGGTTGATATATTGTCATTCTTTTCATCAAGTTGAGGCATACATGCATGTGTATGTACACATGGTTGGTACAAATGAATCCATGGACATACATGGGTGTACGAGTTGTAATATATGAGACATGGGTTGGTATACTTAGATGCACGATCGATTAGGTGAACACATGTCATGCCCTAGAACCTAATAGTAGAATTAAAATATAAACCCAATTATTTATTCCACAATGTATGACATTCTAGAGCCAACTTAATAATCCAATAAAAAGATAATTAATAAAGAAAATCATCCAAATTTTCATTCCAAAATTAATCAAGTACAAATAATAAGTATAAGTTTGTTCTATACATCTAAATGTAAAAATTGGAGTACAAAATACCTCAATTGAAAAGTTTCTAACAACATATCCTTATCAACCTTTACTTTGCTAACACAACCCTTACCTTTTTTTGAAATTTCATAAAACAATAGAGTGAGCATTCATATGCTCCGTAGGCTAACCCAAGTTCTATTACAAAAGTCAATGCCCATATTTTTAATGTACAAAAAAAATATTTAAATATCTATTATAAAATAACATAAAATAACTTAACTCTTAAAAACCATAAATAAAGGGATTACTTATACTGGCATTATCAGAATAATAATATAAGCATATTTTAATCATGAATATACATCATAATTAATTTTCTAGAATTTGTTACTTGAACTTTAAAATTATAAATATTAATATTTACCTTCACTTATACTATCACATAGGTGCCATTATACACTTGTTAGCACAACTTCACATGTACTTTCACATATGAATCAGACCATACTTATTAACAGAATATTTTTTGTACTTGAAATTATTTCATTTAATAGAAGATGCAACATATGAAACATAATATGCACATGTTCCTGATACATGCTTATAACTTTCTTTCCACTTATGCCTCATAAGTTCAACCCTTACTAAGTGAATTTACTTTCAATTATAACTCCATTGAAATTACCATTTGCCTAAAGTAGATGGGGTTAGAAATAATCTCCAACATCTACATGGCATATGGGGCAAGAAATATAAGCAAAACTAAATAGAAATTCAGGCATGATAATAGAACTTATAATGTACTTTAACATCTCCCTCATGAGAACTTCTTTCATATGAATATGAATAGAATTAACATGTATATATGACATTAAATATGAATATGAACACATGTATTTACATATGTACAATGTTTTGGAGATGATGCGTGCAAAATTTGCATGTACACTTTTTGAAAAATTAT